CCCCAAAACCCCAAAACCCCAAAACCCCTTACTTCTGTCATATTGTTGAAAATAGAAACGAGCTTGGATGAATCAGATTATATTTAATTATCACATGATCTTCTATTGTAACACTCTTTGAGATATCTGAGATACTCTTGGCCAGCCTTGTTGAACTTCTGACTAAAGAAATATATTAGAAATGCTTACATTGGGAAATAAGTCTGCTTCATATACATGTAAAATATGTTTATAACTAAGAAAAGAATAATCAAAAAGTACCGATGATAATCCATAGTTGGCAATTTTCTTGGCTCCTGCTCCTGAACTTCAAATTCATCAAGAAAATCTTCAAAGTCTGAACTTTCACGAGTAAACCACTCCCATCTAGGAGGGAGTCTTAAATTTCTCGTAAAGACCTCTGCTTTTATTTTGTAACCATTTAAGGTTATAAGCTTAGTAGCCTGTTCCATAATTTTCACCAATCATTTCGGTAGACAGCCAATTTGTTTACAGCGCCTACTGACTAAAAGGAGTATAAATTTAGCTTTTACCTTTAGTTTGAAGAGTGACGAATTCGAGCTTCTTTGTGACATTCTGTTCTAAGAAGTTCTTAAGGATAGTAAATTCTTCTTGGTTAAGCTTTGAGATGCCTACAATCACCAGTGAGTTCATCTTTGTATTTGATAAGGATCATGCAGCTCTTCAAAAATCGAGGGTGCTCTCCTTCTTAGCAAAGAAATTAAGATACAAAGAAAAACTTCTTGAGATAATTTTTTCAAATTTCTCATACTTGCTGATCCTGTCCTGCATGTACTCTAGCTGTTTCTTTTTTCATTCTTTATGCAGGTTATTTCAAAAGACGGATGCTTGAATGATAAGGTAGAGATTTATTCGTATTATAAAACTCTCTTGTTTTACGACTAATTCCCCACATAAGGTCGAACCATTCTTCTATATTTATACTGTAGTAGGGTAAGAGGTTTACTACAAAACCAACTTTCGTTAGCAAGAAAGAGCCATTCTGGGTTGATGATTCCATTTTATTTACTAAAATTCAAAGTGTGGTTAAAGTACCGGGGTTTTGGGGTTTTGGGGTTTTGGGGTTTTGGGG